TGCTCTTTCCCTGAACTCAGTCTCTGTAATTAATTGTACTCTTCACATATTGCATCACATATATCAACACCAAAATTGTCACAGAATTTGGGAATGGGAGCAAATAAGTTACTATATGTATGATAGAGGAATGGAGGGTAACAGCAGGAGATCTCTGCGCCTCTTCTTCTCCACTCACTGTGTCAGCTTTCACATAATTATTATTCAGTAAATCAGCAAATAAATATGGGACTGTGATTTGAAGGCTTTCACCCATTAAGAGTCTCAAACGTTGCTAAATAATCTCAACTCTTGCATGTATGTAGCGTGCATGTGTGCTGAGCAGTGAGACGAGGCTGAAGTCACTGCTGCGATGTGATTAGTCAGGAGTGTGCCAATCAGACCATAGCCTGGTATCAGCATCACTGAATATCAATGAGCTGTTTTGTGTGTTATTGGGAACTGACACATGGATGGTGGAGAATTGACTTTAAAGTCAATGTCAATTGTAACTACAGAAGTAACTAAGAGCTGACGGCAGCCCACACCAGATTTCAGGTTCGCCTGGATTCGGACCTGCATGCGTATGCGCACAGTGGCTAGCTGGGGTCGTGAAACATCAGCACTTTATTTTGCTCAAAGATTTCTTTTTGCCATGTCAGGATTTACTGACCTTAAAAAACCTGAGTGGAACACCTTTCAACACGTCCTGTCATATTATCCATCTGCCTCTTCAAACTGGCTGAGTGAAACTCACCCTGTCAGCCTGTTTGGCTGTTCACTGGCAGACTTAAAGAAGGAATATTTCTCTACTATCCGCAGCTCATTGTATTTGTATTCTGGAACATTTTCCTCAGTTTGGGATCTTTCTAGCTTTAGTCATGTTTTGCTTTTATTACACATTCACTCTTGCTGAAATCCATGCCATCCATAACAGCTCGTAATCTCTTCTAACAGCCTTCCATGACTGGACTAGGAGCGGACTGGGGGTGTATCTGTTCCATCTACCTACTGACTGCAGTGTTGAAGCAGTCAACTGGTCACAATTTCCTGCACAGATCTGATACTCAAATTATAAACAGCCAGTACAAACAAACAAACAGTTTTAGACCGGAGCAGCATTCAGTGTACACAGAGTCTGATGATAACGACAGACGTTAAGAAGACAGCAGGAAACACCTCACAGGTTTAGTGTATCATTCAAATTTAGTGTATCAAGTCTTTTTCTAATAACTCGATTGTTTTTGCTTTCAATAGTGTTTTTTTAAAAGCTCCGTCTTCATCTCCACCACCAGCATCGAGACTCCGGGGGATTCTCCGCTTAACTCCTGTCGCTACTGAGAGTCTGTTTTGCTGTGATGGGCCATCAGAGTCTAACTGCCAGATAGCTTAATTGAATGAACCACAGTCAGTATCTGCTGATGACGCTATCTCTTTATTGAACTTGCTCAATAAACAGTTAGGAGTTCACTAAGCTTTATCACATGTGTCATTGTAAGAGACTGAGCTTGAAACCTTGATGGGTAGAATCATGTTTGGACTCTGCTCAGGGTCTTTTTCAGAAAAAGGTTGTGTAGTAATAACAGACAAAATGACTCATTGGTCATACCTGAAACCTGATGCTTGGACACATTTGGTCCATGGAGCACACTGATACATAAAGTAGCACACAGTCAAATATATCGTGGGTGTAATCAAACTTTGCAACAGCAGCAGCTGCAGCAGTGCTATTCCTGGTTGTTGTACGGATGTAATGGCTGACTGGGGGAGCTATAACACATGCTGCTGCCATTTCAGTTTGGCTATTACAAAGTTGAGCCGTTAGAGGAGGACCATTATTGTTATTGATTTGCTTGTTTGCCGCCTTCATGGCGGAAAAGCAGCACACAAAGAGAGATTGTTCCCCCCCCCTTTATGTCCCATTCTGGAAAGCAGGTGGAGAGCAGCAGATGTGGACTCCTGAGGAAGAAACCGTGAGATTATATAGAATAGAAATGTTCTGCTACATTGCCTTTGTCTTGGTACTTTAGGCAGGTAGCTAAAGGTAGCAATGCAGCAAGAAAGAAAATACAAATAAAACCCAGTCCTGCTGGAACCTGTTCAATGATTCAAACCAGTCTCCTTCAATGCTTCAGTTTGCCCTCAGTATCCTCTATCAGGGCTATCTGCATTTACTATCAAGTCACCTGTGTAAATGCTGACACTGAGCAGGTAAAGGTGTTTGTAGGTCAACCCAGGAGCTCATTTCCCATCACCAAGACAGAAAATCAAGCTGTTGTTAACCCCAGGATGAACTAGCTGTGTCCACTTTACAACTTAATTAACTGCGGTTGTGGGATCAATCAGTTTCAAAGCCCCACCCATAAACTCCATCACACAGACACACACAC